TTGTTGGGTTATTCGGTGAAGGCTTTAGAGCTTTGGGCTTTAAGCCCGGTCGGTTAAAGGGAAGAAACATGGGGGGCCGGTTTCAGTTATTAATTAAAGGGCCCATTAGTTGTTTCTTGTTTAGCAAGTTGTTAACCCTAGTTTATATCTTATAAATACCCAATCATGTAACTATAATCTGTGAGCACCTAATAAAAGATAAACCCTAGTTGCAACCCATGGAGTAGGTTACTGACCGAACCACGTTAAATCTCGTGTTCTTATTTTCTGCTATTTGTGTGTGTGTGTTTGTTCGCTTCCGCTTGACCGCCTCTGATCTCTGATTCCTAACATAACTCATGTGTTTAAAGTTCCATTTCCCCCTTTATAATACTCCCTCCGTCCCCAAAAGAGTTACTTTGTTTGACTTCACGGAGTTTAATAAAGTTGTTGAAAAGTAAAAAGTTGTGGACTTCCCACTTGATTTTCTTTTTTAGTAATGAACATGTGGCTCACAAGATTTCTCTATCGCTTAAACTAATTTTAACCATGCACTTTTTCACTTTTAAATACTTTTCTTGAACTCCATGGAAGTCAAAGTGGCTAAAGTTTCTTGGGACTGAGGGAATATTTATTTTTTGGTTAATGTCGCAGATGGTAAAAGAAAGTTGTTGATCAGTATTCATTCCTTGAGCAGGGAGGGAGATTCTTTCGATATGAGGAAGAAACTACCATTTTGTGTTGGCCTTCTTCTTCGCTTATTGAAAAAGAACCATTGTGTTTATGTCACATGCACCAACGGGTTTGATCGTTCCCCTGCTTGTGTGATTGCATACCTTCATTGGATGACTGATACTTCCCTTCATGCAGCCTATAACTTCGTCACTGGCTTACATTCCTGCAAGCCTGACAGGTTTTTCTCATCGACATCTACTCTTCTTCTTATCCCTCTTTGTAGCTCTTTAATGTGTGTGCATGTGTACATTAATCTTATTGAATAGTATATATATCGAATGTTCCATATTCTTTAGTCTTTACTGCGACCTCATCCCATGAACGAAAAGGTTGTTAGTGTGATATCTTCCTTAGATACAATGTATTTAGGTGTGCAAAAAGTAGTGGTTACTAATGGATGCACTTGTTATTATGCTGCAAACACAGTAGGGACTAGGGATACTGAACACTTGTGTCTAGAATTTAATGTTGTGGTCCATAAGTTCCCCTTGAGGCATGTAGTTTTCATAAGTTGGCAATTAGATATTCACAAACGTAACTAGTGATGGTTTGGCATGGATCTACATCACCCACAATGCTTCCTTTGACAGTTATTTGGCTTTTCACTAAATCTTTTAGCTACATCAACCCTTGATTTTCCGTATTATCATTTGATTTCATCATTCCATCAGGAATTTCTAATGGCAGTCAATATTAAATTCTCCCTCTGTCCCACAACGGTAGTCTTGTATTCCAGTTTGATCTGTCCCACAAAGATAGTTCAGACTTTATATTATGCCATTATCTGTGCATTTCATTTTTCATTTTCAGGTTTGCCCCTATTTAAATATTTATTTTCACAGTCATGGAGCCAAAGATTCACTATTTTTTGGATTTGGGGCATGATGGAATAAAGCAAAATGGTTCTTTAAATTGTCTCCAGACCCTACTCTTGTGGGATTCAACCGGGTTGTTGTTGTCTATTCTTTAAATCATCTGCGCTTCTTTAATAGTGAAGTAGCAGTTAGTCAATGCAACTTTCAATACTCATCATGGGTCATTTGGAAACAGTCGGTCTATGTTATAAACATAGAGCTCTGCATACTTCTAACCCCTTACCCCGCATTGGACGGGATGTTGTTGTAGTTGTAGTTCCAAGATAGGAGTAATTCATTAATTAACTTTACAAATGAGCAAGAGTGAGAATTGCATATGAAATTACATACAGGTCTATCTTTGTGGGCAGATGAAGTAAATAGATTCCATAGAATTTTTTTGTGTGTGCCATATAATGTTGTAAAAATGTTGTTCAATAACGTGCAGACCAGCCATTGCCTGGGGAACTTGGGATCTTATAGCAATGGTGGAATCTGGTCCACATGATGGACCTGCAACACATGTTGTTACCTTTGTGTGGAATGGGCATGAGGTAAAATAAGCTAAAAGCAGTTAACGCCTTAACAGTGTCTTTCACATAATTATCCTAGGATGAATATCTGATAATCAGAGAAAGTCTGTAATATATGAAGTACTCCCTCTATCCCTTTTTGTTAGATATAATTTCCTTTTATCCGTCTCAAAATCATGTTCACTTTCCCTTTCACTTCCCTCTTTATCCTTTCATCCTCTTTACTTTGTGTAAGGCCCATACCACTTTCATCTTTTTACTAGGTTAAAATGGTAAAAGAACTCAACTAAATATCATCTCATTTTCATAAGAACTATGCCAACCCCAAATGTATTTTGCACTATGTGAGGGAGGAAGTTTTTTTCTTCTTTAATGCAGTTGACACATGTACATGTCCAGAATGTCTGATCCTCACAAGTCACAACAGTGATACTCCGTATATCATTGTCACTCTTTTATTGCAGGGAGAGGATGTCTACTTGGTTGGGGATTTTACTGGGAACTGGAAAGAACCAATTAAAGCTGTCCACAAAGCTGGCCCTAGATTTGAGACTGATGTTCGACTCTCACATGGAAAGTAAGTAATGCTTCTTTTTCTCTTAAGAATATTGACAGTTCCATTTCATTTGATACTGTCAGCTTCAAAAGGGATGGAATGCTAAATATATGCTTTTGAGGTTTTCCTTTTTTGTTCCATAAGCAGTTGTGGCATAAGGGTCTAGGGCTCTAGGCAATTTTTTTCTTTGAACCAAACCATCATTTTTCCAATTTCTAGCAACTGCATATTTTTTCAATTCCTTTACCAAATGACAGAAAATGCATATTTAAGCATTCCCATATGCCATTTTAAAATCTATTATGGTACTGATATTTTTTTGGAACATCTTAAAGTTGAATAACACATCCCCCCTCCCACTAAAACTCTAAAAGAGTTATGTTTCACAAATATAACCCTTTTTATTTTACTCAGGTACAAGTATTAAAAACAATCAAATGTATCTAGATTTTGAAATTTATTTGTTGTTTTAACTAAATTAACACACTCAACTTGTTTTATACATTTCTTATGCAATATTTTTTTAAAATTAAATACGGAGTATGATGCAAATTAGTTTTTTGGGTCAAATTGGACTCGGTTTTTGGGACAAATATAAGTTTAGAAACAAGAGTATTATTTTGGAAGGAAAGGATTAGTATTGAACATTTTTGGTAATTGTCCTCTTCATTATTTGTTATCACCCATCCTCAATACTCTTTCTTCTGCCTGTGTCTCAGTGGTACTTTTAGTTTTTACTTTATACACCTTAGAGCTTGGTACCTTTGTTTATTAGGTACTACTATAAGTATATCATTAATGGACAGTGGAGGCATTCTACATCTTCGCCAACTGAAAGGGATGAGAAAGGTAATATCAATAATGTGATTGTGGTCGGCGATGTTGCAAGTGTGAGGCCTTCTATGCAACAACAGAAGAAGGTTAGTCTTCTCCTCCCCAAGTACACTAAAATAAATAAGTGATTAAAAAATTTAAAAAATCATGCTTCGGTGAGGATGGATAATAGATCGTGTATGCAATCATGCTTCGGTGAATAAAAAAATTTAAAAAAATGTTGTCAAGAATTTGGGGTTGGGGTATTAGTTTGATTTGCATGGTAATTGCAATTTATTTATGCTCAGATCTTGTTTTACTCTTATTATATTGCTGTAGGATTCAAATATTGTGAAGGTTATTGAGAGGCCATTGACAGAAAACGAGCGATTTATGCTTGCAAAAGCAGCTCGGTGCATTGCTTTCTCTATTTGCCCTATAAGGCTATCCCCTAAATAGCAGACGCTACACAAAATTTTCATTGTATATGAAATTCTTCTGTTAAGTTCCTCAATGCAAATGAGAATAGGAACTGTCTAAAGGTCAAATCTCAGATGAACTGCCGATTAGATCGATTCAGCTATCTACTGTCCAAAGAGGAGGCGGGCATCTCTTTTTTTAGGTGAGGTATGTGATGAAGAACTCGATCGGAATACAGTTATTTTCTATAAAAAAAGATGAAGAAGGAAGAAGAAGGCTATTGTAACAATGTATGATTGTAACATATAAGGTCTTCTTGCTTTGATGTATGTGAATTGGTTCCACATGTCTAGTTTTGTGACTTTTGAAGTGACAATGTATCATTATGCAGAATAACATTTATTGAAATGTTTGACTTGTGTGGTTAGATTTTGTCAATCTTGATTAATGTTCAATTTGCACAACAATTTGTGTGAGTCTGAACCATCAGAGTGTCGTTACACACATGTAAGTGAATATAAGTACTTATACATGGAAGTATATCTAACAAGGTGTGTTTTTATATTAAGTTCATAATAGTATACTGGTTCCAGATGTTGAGGCAAGAACTATAGATTTTTTAGGACTCCGAAGAGTTTAAACATGTATAGACCATATCATATACAGATATACTTCATCCATCTTATTACTAAATTTTCACTTGAACTAAGGGTGGGGTTTCCTCCATGTAATGGGATGACATTACTCCTAATTGAAGCACTTATGATGCCCGGTTTGTAAAATTGATACTTCGTAATTCCTCCTAATCTCATTGGTAAACTCCACCTTGAACCCACCATATCCCCACTCCCACTCCCTTCAATTGCACCACTAAAATATAGTTGATTTTGGAGTTAAGTTTTTTTACTCCAAAGTTAAACAAGATTTGGGTGGGGGGCAATTGAAGGAGTGAGTGAGTTGTTTTGGATCGGGTCGAGGTGGGTCACGGGGAGTTTTACCAGGGAGTTAGAATGATAAGAACTTTCAATTTTATGAACTAAGCACTGTCGGTGTCTCAATTTGGGCGAATGTGCGACATTGAAACCCAATGTCATGAGTATGAAGCAGAGACTTCAAACAAATCAAGACAAGTGTTAATGTGTTTAACCTTCCAATTTTGCCCAACATTGAAATGATAGTGAGAGAGAGTAATATGTTGGAAAATGAATGGGGATGGGTAGGAAAAAACTGTTGTAAATAGGGGTATTATAGTTTTTAAAACGGGTTAGATAAACCTAATGTTTCCCTGTTCCAAAATATATTACAATTTTTTTCTCTGCTCTTAATAATTTTTGTTTATTGTGTATTTTTTCATTTAGTATTTGATAAAATACAATATTCTTGTTACCGCTCGTTTTGTAAAACTTCTGTAGTTTTTTAAAATATATTTTTTAATTATTATTGATGTACTTGTAAATAAAATAATTCCAAAAGATGAAAAGATTTGTCTCATAACTCTCAATTTATAATCAAGTTAAGGACGGGGGAGTATAGAAATGAGGTTTTAGGTTTGAGACATCAATTATGAAAAGTAAGATTTTAGTTTTGAGACAAACTTTGAGACGAACATAATACTAATAAACATAAACCAAAGGCTCAAACTTCAAATATCCAACCACATTCAAGTCAACAATGTCTTATTACATAAATCTTATTATCAGTTACTGACTGAGCAAAAGCAAATTTACAAATTACTCCGCATTCAACTGTTAAAAATTGTATTCAAAAATTACAAATATGCCCATTGAATATCAGGTCACAGGACATCCACCAGTGATGTCTACAAGGGACAGAAATGTCTTGTTAAAAAGACTGCATTCGTTATGTACACCTTTCAATGCCTATACCAAACTACCATAGGGTTTTTACTTCTTTTTTTTGTTTAAAATTTTAGAGTACAACAAGAAATCTTATGTTTCCTCAGGCTTTGGTTCCAGAATCACAGGAATCTTCTCCTTGTGATCACCGCGTAAAACTTCCACAATTACCTATTCATATTACATAAAAAAGTGAATACATTGGTGTGATATAGCAGCATTGGGATGATTAGAAAAGAAAAAAAAGAGAGCATAAATTTAATAGAAAATTTTAAGTTGCACCCAAGATTACCCTTACCCTTTGCATAAACACACAGTTTCAGAAACAAGAGGGCTCTTGTTTCTGAAATTGTGTGAAACCGTGTACCTAGGGCTCCTTTGTTTTTAGAGAACTGTCCATTGTAACTTTTTACATACAGTAAAACATGAATGAACGTGGACACACACTGTGTCCACGTTCAATATGATTCTTAAAGTATGTAGAAAGTCATAACGAACATTTATATAAGTACGTGAGTGTCCATGTGAAGGGAAGGGAAGGCAAGCTTGGGGGCACTAGCATGATCCAAATTCATTGGTGTTGAGGGTATGTATGTGCCAACAAACCTTTTCACCCACTTTGCATTGGTCCAGGATTCTGTACAGATCGGTGCCGTTAGAGACTTTTTTACCATTTACCGAAGTAATTATATCCCCCAGCACAAGTCTGCCAAAACCATCACGTTTAGTAGCTAGAAGGCCCTGCGATGGGAAGACCACAAAAAAATCAGTTAGTATTATTCATTAATTAAGCATCATCAATGTGGAGTGGCTGGCTACTCAGTACTCAAAGCAGTTAGTGTTTTGTAAAAAAATCGAGCAATTAGGCCACAACAACACCAACAACAAACCTCATTAAATCCCATGAAAAATAGGGCCGGGAGGATGTGTGCACGTAAACCTTGCCTTGGGGACAGAAACTCCAGAAAGACTGTTTCCAAGAGACCCTCAAGCTCAATTTAGTGATTAGGTCGTTAAGCCAAAATTAAAGAACACCAAACGAGCTATAAAAGTACTCATGTCTCACTTGAGCTACGCCTCAAGGGCTCAAAGGAGCACTTTCACTTGAACCAGAAGGATCGGGACATCCTAATACCAACGGGTCATTTGGTGCACTAAAAGGAGTGGAAGAAAAATACGTGGGGAATAAATAGTGGTTAGGAATATTTTCTCCCTTGTGTTTGGGGAATTTAATTTCCTAGGAGGAAACTATCCAGCCCACCAAACATAGGAATCAAATAGTGCAGGGAATTAACAATGAAATGAAAAGATATTCCTTCCAACAAAACACCCCAAGTATTAGACTATTAGACAGCAACTAGCAAGTAAGATATGGACTTACTGCTTTCCCTGCTGGACCATTTGGAGGAGCATCCAAGACCAGCACCCCACTAACTCCAAGTTGCTCCACAGACTGATCTGGAGCAAACTTAATGCCCAAAACTGGTCGGGTTACTTTCCCATACCTTACCAACTGATCAACAATGCCACTTACCTGCATTTAACAATTTATTACTCTGTAATACTTTTGAGTCTTGTCCCCCCAAAAAATACTCTTTTTTGTCCGCCCCAAAATAAGATTCCCCTTCCCTAGGAAAGAGTTGTGGGGTTCATATTAATCCGTTTTTTGCCCATTTTTAAAAATCTCAACCACACATTTTTGAATTTCTTAACAATGTATCCAATCAAACGTGAAACCTTTTTATGGGACGGAGGGACTGATCTGTAACACATGCCCTAAACCAGCACACATTGTGACATGTGTTTATGGAGCTTTATTGAAAAGTCCATACCTTAATGCAGAGTCTCTGTTAGTAGCATTTTCAAGAATACTTAGCACACTATACTCAACACATAGGAACTCACCGTGTCAACTGGAATTGAAAATCCAACGCCAGAGGATGCACCGGAAGGGGAGTATATAGCTGTATTTATACCAATAAGGTTTCCAGAACTATCAAGAAGTGGCCCTCCACTATTCCCTGGGTTTATAGCAGCATCTGTCTGTATAACATCTTGGATTGGGCGGCCAGTTGCTGCAGAATTAATTTCTCTTCTGAGGCCACTACATGGTGAAAGTTAGATAGCATTCAGTGACATGCAAGTGATCAAAAGATAAAAATCATCTCAGGAACCAATACAAATTTCTCTCATTTACCTGATGACACCGGTAGTGAGCGTATGATCAAGCCCAAACTGCAATTTTTTTAAAGGATCGGATATACATCAGTCAATGCAAAATTTAGCACAGGCAGAATGCAAAGCCTATATTCTATGTAAATTTATATAGCTGAGAAGAACAACCACATTTAAAAATATTGAGTGACAACATTTTAAGGTTGACATGATACAGCTCTTACACTGGAAGAGCAGGTTGTTACACTGGTACTAACAAGTGATACTAAAAAATACTCCGTAATAGGTAGCACAGAGAAGACCCACAGAAAGCAGGAAATAAGGTTTAGGTTTACTTAAAGAGAATCTTTTTTACTGTTCATCAGTTATCAATGAGGATAAACCAAACCTTAGAGAACTCAATGACAATAGAGCATAAGAGAACAGGCAGGATAGACAAATCTGTGCACACAATTTCTTTAAAGTATTGAGTTAACTTACAGGATTTCCAATGGCATATACTTTCTGACCAACAAGCAAGTCTGCAGATACACCAATTGGTATAGGTCTCAACTTCTCTTCGGGTGCATCAATTCGTAGCACAGCTACATCTTTATCTTGGTCGAATCCAACAACTTTTGCATCATAAGTGCTCTGATCAGAAAGAGTGACCCTGAACATGACAAGTAAACATGCTTGATATTCATCCCAGAATCCAGATCATGAAGGCAAACACTAAAAGAATCATTGCCAAATTGTCAAATACAACCATCGAGTGAAGCAAGAAAAGGTGACTAACTACACATCCTTAAGCCTTTGTTTTGTTGGGTAAAACAGGAAAGGGAGAAGTCAGGAGAGAGATGTAGTTCTCTTACTTGGTTAAAAGAGAAATGGAAAAGAGAGAGATAAGAGAGAGTAGTTCTCTTATTTGGTTAAAAGAGAAATGGAAAAGAGAGAGATAAGAGAGAAATATTTTGAACCACTTTGAATTCTTCTCCTTCATGGAGAGAAATAGGAGAAAAATGTAATCCTACTCGACTTCTACACATATCTCTCATGTCAAACAACACACCAAATTTATTCAGTTCCTATTTTTTCTTTCACCTCTATATCTTTCTCACATATTTCTGTCCTCTATTTCTTCTCTAAACCAAACAACGGCTTGAATAATTGAAACACTAAGGTACATTTGGTACTCCTTGATCCATAATTTTTCCCCCATATTCATTTTGAAGAACTCATACTTGGAACTTGTTGCATGATCATATATTTTGTGCATTTGACTGCTCAATCTTCAGATTATGGTGGATATATGAGCTAATAATACATTATATTAGGTGAGGCAGTGAACACTTTTGTTTCTTCTGAGGCAGCTATGATGTCCGCTTAAATTTGGGAGCTAAACAGATGGCTGAAAACCAGAAAATAAGTACGTATATTTGGTACAGATTGCCAGACCAGCCGATTTATGAAAGCGCATGGGTCATCTCAAGCACGCAAGTTATCCAAAAATTCAGATGTCAACACATCAACTAACAACAAAATGTCAATGATCATAAAAGGGAAAGTTGTCACCATACGTCAATTTACTATAAATAAAAAATGACTAACCGGAGGTCTGATGCACCACGGATAACATGATAATTGGTGACAATGTGACCATCTTTATCCCATACAAAGCCAGAGCCAGAACCTTGAGGCACCTCTAACACATCTAATGTAAACACATCCTGCCTAAATATCAAAGAGGGTCCATAATCAACAGAGAAACCAAGCAAATCGGTTAGGGAAAAATGCAGAGTAAACATGAGCAAAATAATCAAGTGGAGGAGCGCAAAAAATATATTTAATGGGTTAAATACTTAAATGGGAGAACACAGACTTTCCGTGGTTTAGCTATAATAACACTACATCTGCACCACTAAGTTTGGACAAGGGACAGTGATATGCAAATTAAGGAAAAATGGAATCGTGTAGTTGAGATTGAATATGTAACGTATGTATGAATTAGAAACACATAAATATAACTAGATATTGTATGCGACAAATACTTTTGGGACCAGCGAAAATGTAAATTAATATGCTTACCCCAAAGAAGCTTGTTTCCCTGAAACTAACATGGAGGGAGATTTATTTAGAAATGAAGGAATACATATGGACCGCATGATTGAGGGATACAAAGTACTCTATTTTCATTAGAGATGGCCTAAAACGAAAATATTAGAAATAAAAGGGTATGAACTATGAAGGGAGCAATAATCTAATAAATAAATCACTAGCACACTACCTGAGCTGAATTTGGTTTTTGTTAATGAAATGAGGCTAAATGCACAATATAATTTCTAACTGGACATAACATAGAATGTGTGCCAAAACCAAGAATCACATAATGGGCACTACAAGTAGCCATTTTGCAGAAGAACCTCCATGTTCCAGGAGTTCCTAGCACCGGAATCGCAAGGAGTAAGGAGAATCACCTGGCAGCTAGGTTAGTGATATAGACAACTGAAGGCGTATTCTCCTGAAAAAGCCGGACAGTGGCGAGCTCATCGGTCTGCAGCTTCCTTGGAGAAGTGACCACGAAGGCAGACGCACGATCCACATCCGCAAGGAGCAGAGAGAGCGACAAAGCTGCAGAAGTGCACGCCACTAAAATGGAATCCAGAACCTTATTGGCGCGCGATTCCTCTCCGGAAGAGCTGCGCCGGAACGCGCAAGTCGTAATGCTAGGGTTCCGGCAGTAAAACAGAGATTTACAGGATGAAAATCTGGCGTCTGTCGGGGAACAGCGGCGGATAGCTATAATTCCATTCGTAGAGAAGAAAGAAGAAGAAGAAGAAAGGAGCGAGTGTGAGCAGGAAGCCATTCCCGGCCGTCTGAGAGAGAAAGATGATGGGACTGGTTATGATTCCGGCGGCTGTGTAATGGTCACCGGAGGTCTTCGTAACGTGCGGTGAGGAGCATGGTGTTACCATGTGCCACAAGGATTTCTGGGCCCACTTCATTTTAACGTTCTATGAAAGGTTGGTATGCTCTTCCGATGATCCCGATCGGAGCATCCATTAAGATTTACTAATCCAAATTTCTCTCTTTTCAATATTATTTTATTTACAAATTGATAATCAACAAAAAATAAAAACTACTCTAGCAATATCATTTTTTATAAGAAAAATATATTTAAGTATAATATAAAATCAATATAATTAAGTTCATTTTAGGATAGTTTGAATATATCAAATTTTTGTATCTTTTATTTATTTAGATTATGTTTAATTTTATGATCAAAGTCTATCACTGTTTGACAAAAAAAGTCAAAACATGAAAAGTTTTTAGAACCGGAGGTAGTACATATTAAAAAAACTATGTCAAACGTTCTATAATATCAAATGTGACAAGAATATTTTATTTTATCAAATATCAAGAGTGAAAGAAAAACAGAAAAGTTTGAACTGAATAGGACTAAAACATAAGTCATTTCCCAATGTAAAACTTAAACTTTTTTATTCAATAAATAGGACTTAATAATGACCAGTGAGAAGAATAATATTCAAGTGATGCTGGACATTTAGTTAAATAATGACTAATAGATAATGATCAATGATCTTACATTGGAAAATAAAAACATATGGTCCTATATTCAGAAAGTCATTATGTTTTAGTCTTATTTAAGTAAATTACTCAAGAAAAGATTTTAAAATTTTGGGACGGATAGAGTATATTATAATATTCCAGTGTATTTGTAATGTTTTATTTTTTAAAATTAAATTTCACAAGTTTTAAATTTCAATTGAATAAAAATTGTAATGTACATATTTTAATATAAAAATGATTTATTTATCTTATAGAGAATTTTCCAAAATTTAATTTCATTCTATTAATTTGTCATAAATATTGAGACTAACTAATGATAAAAATTTATCCAGCTTTACTCAAAAAAGATCATGTTGAATGAATACACTAGAGGAAAGGAGTACTACCTCTATTATTGTTCCACAATTAACATTACAAAAATAAGATTATTAATTAAAAGTGATGTTAATGAGAGAGACGCGCGATGTAAGCCACAAAAAATAGAACTTTATTTTAGGACATTTTTAAAAAAGTTATTTTAAATCATTATTATAAAGTTTTATATGTGGATGATCTTATACTAAAGTTCCTATTCCCTAACCATTCTACGATCGATTTTTTTATAACATAATATGGTTGAGAAATAGAACAGGTATATGATTCAAAGTGAAAAGGAAGAGTGTGATGAGAAGGATGTGGTGAGTGTATGTATATAATTATAAAAAAATTAAATAGGATTTAAAATCACACAATTGTAATTCATCTTGTAGATATGATTAAAAATACTTTAATTTAAAGATAAACTCAAAATCATTACTTGAGTCATGTTATAAACAAATTTTGTACTCACTCCATTTTTGAAAATTAAAAACTCAAAATCATTACTTGAGTCATGTTATAAAAAAATATTGTACTCCCACCATTTTTTTAAAACCATTTCTCTTTCATATTTTTCTTTTTCTTCAAAAAACTTCAAGTTTTATAAAAAAGACAAATACAAAATTACAGAGTGTATAAAAAAAAGTCATTGCTATATACTCTCTCCATTTCGCATTGATACAATAAATTATTTAATCTATTTGTCTCCTTTTTTCTTCAACGCTAAAGATATAATTAGAAAATCATATTACAAAAACCTGGCCAAAATCAAAATAGAAACTATTTTAAAAAACGGTGGGAATAGAAAATTCAAAATTATGAGCTAACAAGTTAAAAACTACTAATACAAAATCACATGTCATTCAAGGGGTTAGACTTGCAAAAATAAGTTGCACATAATATTAACATAGGCTTAAGCCCAAATCATGTTTGGCATTGCTTCAAGTAAACATATGTCAGTTATGTGTGATAATCATTTCAAAAAACACAGAGTACTTCATAAGAGGAGTTGTTCATGTCAGGTTTAAATGTAAAAAGTCACAGACTAGTGTACACAATGCTTACTCTTAGACACACTGGTGTGACAAAAGAGAGAATCCATTGCATATGGGCATGCCACAGGAAAAAAGAAAAGAACCGAAGAGATTATTACGCACTTGAGAAGAACTGGCGAGCTTCGTAGTATCGGTCTATGACAATGTTGAACAGAGGGTGAATCCGCTCCACCAGGTTATTGGAATAAGGGCCCAGGACGTGCCCGGGAAACGGAGGGGTATTGAAGTCTTTTGCCCAGATGTATTGTGATATAGAAAGACCGCTCAAGCAGTAACAAGTGTGGTAGTGGTCTCTAGGCTTCCCGGGTTTGTCCCTGAAACCACCGCCATCTACCTGCATGTATCAAACCATATCCACATATGTTATTTCTTTTTCTTATTTAAAAATAGATAAATGAATGAAAAGTCGATTTAGTTATTCTGGTGAGTGCGTGAGATATGGGTTCTGATATGTCCTGATTTCATAATCCGTTTACAGGTGTTTGGTGAATCTTAATCGGGGTTCAGATTTGATATCTTCTGATATCACAACCCTCCCAAATACGATTGTTTTTATCTCTCTCGAAATTAGGGAGA